AGGAGCGGTATGAAATAATCTCCTCCATAATAACTACCCGCATGAAGGACGGTAAATCCGTCACGGGCCACATGCAAAAGATGCAAAGGTATGTGGACCGTTTGCTGAAGCTGAATGTTAACATCCCCGAGGAGTTGGCAATTGACATCATTTTGCACTCCTTGCCTTCTGGTTATGATCATTTTCGAATGACATATCATATGAACAAGGAGGAAGTTACCCTCAGCAAGCTTCAAGGTCTCTTGAAGACCGCAGAATCCGGTCTTAAGGGTAAAGCGGTTGTTACCTCTACTACTCCTACTCCAACATCTACCCCTGTTTTAGCTATTGGGCAAGGCAAAGGGAAGAAGAGGAAGAACCCTTCGAAGGGTACCAAGGGAAAGTCTCTTGAAGGCTCCACATCAAAGACCAAGAGCGGTTCTGCCACTCCTTCTGCCATTCCCAAGGATGCTGAATGCTTTTATTGCCATGAAAAGGCACACGAGAAGCGAAACTGCCCTAAGTACTTGCAGGATCTAAAGGATGGGAAAGTGAAACCCACCCATGTAGGTATTTACACTATATTGTCTAATTACTCAACATATTCTAACTCTTGGGTGCTTGATACAGGATGTGGTATTCACATATGTTCTGATTTGCAGGGCCTAAGAAGAAGTGAGAATGTGGAGCACGGAAAGATAAACTTAATCATGGGGAATAGGAAGGCTTCACCTGTTTCCAAGATTGGAGTTTATACTTTGTTGCTTAATAATGGGTTAAAATTAGATTTGAATAAATGTGTGTACTCGTCTGAAATGGCGAGGAATATTATTTCTTTTCATGCTTTGTACAAACAAGGTTTTACCTTTTCGTTTGGTAATGAATGTGGTGGTATTAATGCTTTTTTAAAAATGTGTTTTATTTTAAAGCATTACCTTGTGATGGTGTGTATGAAACTGTGTCGATTGTAGACAACTTAGGAAATAATGTGTTGTATATTGATTCTTCTACTAGCCTAGATAAAGCATCATTGTGGCATTGTCGTCTTGGACATGTAAACAAGAAACGCATAGGCCAACTCCAAAAGAGTGGAGTCTTGGAATCATTTGATCTTAAATCGGATGATAGTTGTGAATCTTGTCTACTTGGAAAAATAACAAAATCACCCTTCACTGGAACTTGTGAGAGGGGTGAGGGTTTGTTGGACCTAATACATACTGATGTATGTGGTCCATTCAAAATGGCCACAAGGGATGCTAATCGGTATTATGTGACTTTTATTGATGATTTTAGTAGATGTGGGTATGTCTACTTAATCAAACACAAGTCAGAAATCTTTGAAAGGTTTAAGGAATTCAAACAGGAAGTAGAAAATCAATTGGGCAGGAACATTAAGATGCTTCGATCCGATCGAGGTGGTGAGTATCTTAGCACCGAGTTCCTTGACTATCTTAAGGAGTGTGGGATTGTCTCACAATTGACTCCTCCCAGGACACCACAGTTGAATGGTGTAGCTGAGAGGCGTACTCGAACCTTGTTGGACATGGTTCACTCTATGATGTGTCGAGTTTCGTTACCAATCTCTTTTTGGGGGTATGCCTTGAGACTGCCGCCCATATCCTTAATCTAGTCCCTACAAAGAAGGTTACCAAAACACCTCATGAGATGTGGACTGGGAAGGTTCCCAATTTGGACCACATCAAAATTTGGGGTTGCGAAGCTTTCGTGAGGCGTGAAACTCATGATAAGCTTGAACCCCGAAGTGAAAGGTGTATTTTCATCAGCTACCCACAGAAATCCTTCGGTTACCTATTCTACAGACCCAGTGAGAATGTGGTCTTTGTAGCACGAAGAGGGATCCTTTGCGAGAAAGAATTTATAAGCCAAGGAGAAAGTGGGAGGCAGATTGATCTTGAAGAAATTCAAGAATCAATTGGTGAAGGAACCTCAGACACTAGCAATCAACCTGAGGAGGAAACTCCTGTTGATCCAGCTGACGAGTCTGTACCTCCGAGGCGTTCCACACGGGTTAGGAACACACCTTCATTTTATTGTGGCTTTCATATTACTATGGAAGGTGATACATTTATTAGTGATAGTACACTGGTAAATTTGGATGAATCTAGCAGTGTTAAGGAAGCCATGGCAGGCCCAGAGTCTGCTAAATGGAAGGAGGCTATGGACAACGAGATACAGTCCATGTATGACAATCAAGTTTGGAACTTGGTTCACAATGTACCAGGCCGTAAAACAGTCGGGTGCAAATGGATCTTCAAGAAGAAGACAGACATGAGAAGGTAAAATAGTTTGGCTTCTCGAGAAGCGAAGATGAGTCTTTCATGTATGTCAGAGCTAGTGGGAGTATAGTTAGCTTCTTGGTACTATATGTGGATGACATACTACTCATAGGAAATGACATCCCAACCTTGCAGGAGGTTAAGTCCTGGCTTGGGAAGTGCTTGGCTATGAAGGACCTAGGGGAGGCTACCTATATCCTAGGGATAAGGATATTAAGAGAAAGGAGTAGAAGACTAATTGGACTTAGTCAGAGTATCTACTTGGATAAGGTGTTGAAAAGGTTCAACATGGAGAATTCCAAAAAAGGAGATTTACCGATCCAAAGCAATACCAAACGGAGTAAGACTCAGAGTCCGAATACAGAGACTGAGATGAGCCAATTACCGTATGCTTCCGCAGTTGGCTCGATCATGTATGTTATGACTTGTACCTGTCCTGATGTGGCATTTGCTTTGAGCATGGTCAGCAGGTATTAGGGGAACCTTAGCAAGGCTCATTGGACCGCGGTAAAGAACATTCTCAAGTACCTGCGGAGGACTAAGGATTGGGTCCTTACCCTTGGTGGCAGTGATGACTTGAGAGTATTAGGGTATAGTGATGCTGGTTTTCAGACTGCTAGGGATAATTTCCGCTCTCAGTCGGGTTGGATCTTTACCTTAAATGGAGGGGCAATTTCTTGGAAGAGTTCCAAGCAGGAGACGGTGGCTGATTCGACTTGTGATTCAGAGTATATAGCAGCGAGTGAAGCAGTGAAGGAGGCGATATGGCTAAAGAACTTCATCGGAGACCTTGGAGTTGTACCAGCTATTAAGGAACCTATATAGATTTTCTGTGACAACAATGGTGCGATTATCTTAGCCAAGGAACCAAGAGATCATGGAAGATCCCGACACATTGACAGAAAATATCACTTCATAAGACACAAGATTGAAGAAGGACTCCTTGTGACAAGGAGGATATCGTCGGATGAGAATCCTGCTGATCCCCTTACGAAGGGACTGATGAGGGTTAAGCATTTTCAGCATGCGAGACGCATCGGGCTGAGGGACGATATTAGTTTTGCAGATTAGATAGTTTTCCTGAAACTTGTAAAATGTAATCGACGTTTGATGATGAATAAAATTTGTGATTTATTTATGAGTAAAGTGTTACTATCATTTTCAATTATTTACTATTGTTTCAGTTTTGCATGTTTTGACTTCCAATATAATTAATTTATTCAAACCTCCACAATCGATCATACGTCGGAAGTAGGTATGAATCAAGATTGTCATGAATTGGGTTTGTAGATGCCTTAAAGGTGTTTAGACATGGCAATGGTTGCTGCAACATTCATGAGTACTCATAAGTTATGAGTATTGGTATAAACCCACGCTCACTAGTATCACTTCATGGAATTTATCTCGAGTGATTGTGAGATGATAACATCATATAAATCTTCAAACCTAGAGATATGAGTTGTTACCTATGAGTTGGTTGTGCATTGATTGCACGTAAACACATCAGTAACTTGATGTTATAAAACGTGCCTTTGTGTACAATTCAATAAGTAGTAGAACAAGCATATCAGTCGAAGTTTATCTGTTCCCTCTAGAAATTGAAGCGATATCTGGACCCCTCGATGATTTTGTGTTGACCCATATACCAGGCCTGGTCAGAACTAAACCGATGTGTTCAGTGAAGTTCTTCATCAAACAAATCAGAAAATCAAGAAACAACTGCTAGACAATAAGCAAGACATAGTTACATGTGTTTGTCCGGCTGATATCATGAGAACAGAGGATTATGTGATCACTTATCTAAAATGGCGCTTCATAGTTCAACAGAGTCTTCATAGTTCGAGGGAGTTTTCGAGAGCTACGATTGCTGGTTGGTTCCTGAAGTTATAGGCAAATACAGTTACTAGACTTATCCAAGTTTGAGTCTATTGGATAAGGTGTCTAGGTCCACAACTTATTTGGTATATACTTGACCCGACCGTCATGGTCCATTTGGGTTGCATCTCATCCAAACTATTATGGATAATTTTATGAGAGTTATACGCATATGTTTATTAATATATAATGAGTTATAATATATTAATATGAAGTTACGTTATTTAATTAGTTTTAGTCTTAAATTAATTATGAATTAATTTAGAGATTAAAAGGAAGACTAATTAGATTATGGGCTATTTGTTTTATATAGTGTGGGCTAATACTCATTTGTTAATGGGATAGGCTTATGTGGAAGTCCATGGATGATCCATGGAGCTTTTAACCCATGGATCCTTGGAAAGGAAAAGACATGGGTTATTAGGGTTTCACCCTAACCATGGACACTATATAAGCATGCTTATGGAGCATGAAATGGAGCCTAAGAGAAAACTGGTGAACTAGTGTGTGTGTGCATGTGTGTGGCCAATTTTATACAAGGGTGTATACTCTCTCAAAGTTTTCCAAGTGTTTGTGGTGTTTGTGATTCTATTTGAGGCATTCACACTATTGGTGCTTGGCCCTCAAACTCCTTAGAACCAAACTCAGCAAAAGGTATGTAATCTCTTCTAACTCTTTTATGTTGAAATGTTCCCCATGCCATGTTAGATAGGTTATAAACCTTGGAAAATTATTATTTTGCATGTATTTAGACAAACATATATCCAAGGTTTATTAGGGTTGCATGCACACTTAGGAAGTGTTAGATTGCTCAAAACCCAACAGTATGGAGATCGATCCGGAATCAGAATGTGGGCTTTTGATCCTGAATGGAATATGTGGGTTGTTAAGAGGAATTCTGGTGTTTCTGAGTATTACAAAAGTGTTCATGATTTTAACTCATGGACTAAAGTGGATCTTGCTGAACTTTCAAGCGCCCCATTCCATAACCCTTCAGAAGATCCAAGCACGTCAAACTTCAAAAGATTTCTTGACAGGCAGGTCAAGGAAAACTTCTCTAGAATGATATCTGCAAGAGCCTTATACAGAAAAGATAAGGAAATTATGGATCCTAAATCAGGTGAGCCTATGAAGATTATCATATGGCCAACAACGAAACAGCAGAAGGAAAACCTATCCCTCAACACTTTCGTGAGGTATATCTTGATAATATGGAATTATGGGCGTACGATGATGAAATTGTCAATGCTGCCATAAAATTCAAGGATCAAGAACAAGTTTTAAGGCTAATAAGTGCTAAGGATCTTCTAAGATTCAGAGAAAGAGATATCTGGACTCTGTCTCGTCACCAAATCATAGTTTGAAAGGATGTCATAGAGCCTGTTGCCAAAGAATATAATGGAATGGTCACCACAATCATTAATGGGAGGCTTTGGATGGGATCCATGGGAAAGTCTGATCTTGTTACTGAAACACCTGCATAACTCATTTCTGTGGTGAGCGTAATGATCCTCTGGAGCTGGTTTTCAAGAGTTTCGCCCAGAACATAGTTGAACATGCTGAACTTTTGTCGAAGCATGTCCTGACGACTTTGATTCATATCCTCATTACCCTCATAGAATTCTATTAATGCTTCCCAAAGTTCTTTCGCAGATGTATACTCACGGAAACCCTAAGCGATTTCTGGAGATAAAGCCATTGTAAGCGTAGGAAGGGCTTTCTCTTACTCTTAGACCTTTTCGAAATCCTCATCCGTATAATTTTTAACCCGTTTGTCGACAATTGTGTCATCCACTACAGTAGTAATTCGAATTGGTCCCCTAAGTATACTGCGCCAAATCTTGAAGTCTTTCATTTTAATATAGTTCTCGATCCGGTATTTCCATTACGGAAAGCCTTCAGCATTTAAGAGTCGGGGAATTCGAGAACTTGTTCCCATGATGGTGTCAAGTTCCTGATGCACTGTCATGCTTTGAGAATCCATTTGTTTAAAGATTTGAATGATTGTAACCGCACACACTGCAACCGTACACTGCAACTACACACTTAAACGCACACACTAACTGCACACTACAACCGCACACACTGCCTGCACATTCCAACCGCACAGACTGCCTGCACACTCCAACCGCACACACTGCCTGCACACCCCAACCGCACATACTGGCCGCACTCCTAACCACACACCTGACAACACACTTGACCATACATTTTCAAAATATTCCAACCACACACCTTCAAAGTACAAATTCACACCTTCGAAGTACAACCGCACACCTTTGAAGTACAACCACACACCCAACAGTTGAACCGCACACCCAACAATCTCAAATTTTTGAATGAATTTTCATTCCAAACTATCAAAAACAGTGATAAACAACAGTTCCTTGATTAAATAGTAAGAATTTTACTATAGAAATGGTAAAATTTCTCAACCGCACACTCCAAAATGCTTCAAATTAATACTGAATTGGCTCTGATACGAATTGTAAGTCCCAAACTATGGATCCAAAATAGTAATCACTAAGATAACAACAATCAAATAGGGTGTTAGAAGGAGTAGAATAAGAATCAAAGCAAGCATGCACACATTAGTATCATATAAATGTAAAGTACACCCTGTCACATACATATACTATTCATACGTACTTGACAAGACTGACACATCCATTTATATACACACACCAACACCTATGAGTGCAGCCGCACACACATCTAAGGCAGCACACGGTGTGTGTGGCCGCACACATGTGTGTGGCTGCACACACAAACACATAGACGGTTCTACCATTATACCATTACACTATTGCTCTATCAACCTACCAAGCTCTACAAAAAAGAATGCCGAGCCCAAACCACAAAAGTATAGCCTTTCACAGTGGCATGATATCTTCATACGAGATCCATTTTATGTTCTTTAAATTTTCGGATAGCTCTTAAATAGATCTACAACTTTCCTTTAGATCCCAAAAACTATTTCTCATTGTATAATTTTTTTGATAAACTTAGCATGTTAGAGATCATTGTAGAAAGAACAACTCCTACGTACGGATTTTGTTCTCAATGATCCTTATATTGACGTACTCCTATGGACAAGATCTTCAATTCTCATTTACAATATTTTACCAAATAATCTATCGATCTAAAATTTGATTTTTTCCTGCACACTACTGTGATGAAATCCTAGAAAATCCTAACTTCCATTAATGAAGTCAGATTTAGATGTTCTCTATACGCACAAATTCACTTTTACGAGTACTATGACGTTTGTTTGGGTTACTAACGTTACTAAGTTATCAAACTAAATTTCTAATTTATATTAATTTTGAACATATACAAAAACGAGAAAATGCGGTGTTACAACTCTCCCCCTCTTATAAGGATTTCGTCCCCGAAATCGAACTTAATAAACGTAGGTATTTTCTATTCATATCTACTTCTGTATCCCAAGTCAATTTTGATCTTTTTTGGTGTTTCCTGTAAATCTTTATTAAGTTGATCACCTTGTTGTGCAATTTCTTTGTTTTTTATCCAAGATCGGCAGTAGCTTTTCAACGTAGTTTAAATGGTTGTTTATGTTAATGTCTTCCAAAGGTAAATTTGCAGATTCATTTGTTATGTACTTCCTTAGTTGGGAGAGATCGAAGTTGTTGTGGATATCACTTAACACTTATGTAGTTAGAACTGATAGGCAACCTTACCTAGTCGAACAATGACCAGAAACGGCCCGATATACCTACAACCTAACTTTACCGTCTTCTGGAACCTAATAACACATTTGCAAGGAGAAAACTTAAGTAACAATAGGCCTCCTACTAGGAACTCAAGATCCGCTCTTCGTCGATCTGTATAACTCTTCTACCGACTTTGAGCAGTCTTTAGACATTCATGCACTTGTTGGATAAGTTCAATAGTTATGATCACAACATCAGTGCTCCCTTGACTCGATGGCTGACTTCTCCCTAATATATGGGTGTTCGACACTTCCTTCAGTAAACCGATTTAAAAGGAGGTCTACCAATACTGGAATGATAGTTGTTATTGTATGAAAACTCTGCTGACGGTAAATATGCATCCCAACTATCATTGAAATCATGCATACATTCCCTCAAAGTATCCTCAAGAATTTGAATAGTTTTCTTACTCCACCCACTATTCTGAGGGTGATAAGCTACATTGATAGGCAAAAGGGTTCCCATCTTGTCATGAAACCTCATCCAAAATTGAGAAGTGAAATGGACATCTCTATCAAAAACTATTGATACTGGTACTTCGTTCCTAGACAATACTTTCTTAACGTACACCTCTACAAGCTTCTATGGCGAGGAGATTTCTTGGATGGGAACAAAGTGGGCACTCTTGGTTAATCTATCCACTATCACCCAAATAGTGTCTACTCCATGATGAGTCTTCGGCAACTTGGTGATGAAGTCTATAATTTTTTGTTCACGCTTCCATACCAGAATATAAGGAGGTTGCATTTTCCCATTAGGCATTTGGTGTGCAGCATGGACCTTCCGACAAATCAAACACCTTTTTACATACCATGATACATCTCTTTTCATTCAGGGCCACCAGTAATTGTGTCTGAGGTACCTATACATCTTTGTAGCTACTGGATGTATCAAAAACTTAGACTTGTGCTTAAGTATTTGTCGAGTTCCTCCTGACTATGGAACCCAAACTCTGTCATGTAGATTTAACAACCATGACTATCTATGTCGAAAGATGAGAATTGCCCTCTAATACTCTCACTTTTCTAGTTTTCATCCTTGACTATCTCATTCTAATCATGCTTGATCATCTGTAGCATTGGATTGAACATTCTCATCCTTCAACATGCATCTTTCATTGGTGTACTGGATGCCTTACAACTCAATGTGTCAGCTACTACGTTGACCTTACTTAGGTGGTAGAGGATTTCTCAGTTATAGTCTTTCACTACATCCAACCATCGATGTTGTCTCATGTTTAGGTTGGGTTGATCCATTAGCTATATCAGGTTCTTATGGTGAGTGTATATGGTACACCACACTCCATACAGGTAATGCCTCCAGATCTTGAGAGAAAAGACTACAACTCCAAATTCTAAATCGTGTGTCAGATAGTTAGCTTCATGAGGCTTTATTTATCTTGATTCATATGCGATTACTCGACCTCGCTACATATGGACGACTCTAAAAACCACGATGGATTAGTGGGATATGAGCATTGCTAATGCTGGGGCTTCACATAACTAATACCTTCGTCTTGTAAAAGCCAACTGTTGCTCTAGACCCTAGTAAAAATCCACTCCCATCTTTGTTAAATGGTTCGTTGCTAGTGCATCTAGGAGAAGTCTTGAATCAATCTTCTTTAATACCCTTCTAATCATAGAAAGCTTCAAATATCTACAGGATTAGTGGGATATGAGCGTCGCATAACTACCTCTATCTTGGTCGGATCTACTAAAATACCATTCTGGTTAACCAGATTTCCAAGGAACTCTACCTCTCGTAATCAAAACTAGCTTTTGGAGAACTTTTTATACAACATCTCCTTTCTTAGAACATCAAGTACCTCTCTTAAGTGCTTTTTTTGTTGTTTTTGGGTCTTTCAAAAAACCAAGATATCCTCTATAAACACAATTATCGATCGATCACCTATAGGTGTACATACTCGATTTAGTAGGTCCATGAATATGGCAGGTGCATTCGTGAGCCCAAAAGGCATCACTACAAACTCATACTGATCATACTTAGTTCTGAAAGTAGTCTTCGATATATCTTCTTCCCTTACACCTAGTGGTATATTGAATGTTGATCAATTTTAGAAAACCACGATCCTCCTTGAACTTGATCGGAAGGTTCTTCTATCCTAAGTATGGGATAGCGACTCTTTACCTTGAGTTTGTTAAGCTCTCTATATTCTATGTACTTCCTATAAAACCCATCCTTCATCTTAACAAAAAGAATCGACGCTCCCCATGGAGAAATACTTGGCCGAATGAACCCTTTGTCCATTAACTCTTTCATCTGATTAGATAATTCCTGCATATCTACGGGTGCAAGATGATAACTAAGTTGATCCTAAATTCCACTTGATGCTCCAAAGGCACACCGGGAAGGGCTTCAGGAAGCATATATGGGAACTTACAAACTACTGGCACTTCTGCCAAGGTTCCCTTATTTTCTTCTCGAGTGTCGACTACATAAGCCAAGAATCCCTCACATCTGTTCTGTAGGTATTTTGTAGCCCTTACCGTGGAAGAGAATTTT